GGCTCTGGGCTGATGGCTCAGAGCCTGACGCGGGGCTCGAACTCACGGACCGGGAGATCGTGACCTGGCTGAAGTCGGACGCTTAACCGACTGCGCCACCCAGGCGCCCCTACTTCCCCTTTAAAAGCACGGCCAGCACAAAATATAAGGAGGTGGGTGGTATCGTGGAAAGAGATGTATTTTATGGCACTTTGTCATTTGCTACGGGAGCTTATGCTCATCCTGACAAGAACTGGCTTGTGCATTGTTGGTTGGGCCTCGTACCAATCCCGGGAGGCAGAAAAGAGCTTTGCAGGCATTTTACAGATGGAGAAGCTGAGGCTTCGAGATGTTAGGCACTTTGCACAGGCCACACAGGCAGAAAGTAGCCCCGCTGGCTGCAGAGCCCAACCCCCCCCCCCCCGCCCCCCGCCCCGGGTGGCCTTCTGCAGGGGCGCGGACAGCTTTCGGTGCCTGCTTCTCTCTCCGCCACCAGTCAGAAGGGCCGGTGGCATGGACTGCATGGAAAGGGTGTGGAAACTGAGGCCCGGCCAGGTGGTCACCCGCCTAAAGCCATCGGTTCCTCTCACCCTCTCCTCCTGTCAGGGGTCCCTCCCTGCCCACCCACCCTTTGCTCCTCCGACCCCTCACCTCACGTTCTCAGAGAGACAGGCAGCACAGCAGAGGGCCCTGGGCTCTGGTGGGTCCGGGCAGGCGGTGGGGGGCCACCCAAAGGGAAACTCGTTCTCATCAGGGGCTGGGCGGGGGCTGCTGGCTGAGCCAGAGGCCATCCCGGGGTCCCAGGCTGGCCTGGGGGGCCCGTCTACGCTCCTCTGGGGCGGGGACCGGGCCTGTAAAGTCTGTGCTGAGAGAAGAGGTGAGTTCTCTCTGGTGAGCAGGAGTCTGACAACTTTATCTTTTTGCTGGCTTGTGTGGTTCAACGTCACGGCTGAGTCACAGCAGGGATGGGGCAGGAATTACCCTTTGTGGTGCAAAAAATCCCCTGGATGGTGACTGAAGGCTTTAGGAGTGTCCAGTCATTCTTTAAAGTGAGAGAGAAAAGAAAACAAGTCAGAGAGAAAAAAGAACCGTGCCGCAGATTTTCAGGAACTGCAGTCAAAAGTTCCCCTCTCTGAGCACCTTGGGCTGCTTCCTGCTGGCTTCCTCCTCCTCCTCCTCCTGGGGACTTCAGTGGCGCGGTCACAGCCGGTGTTCCCTGGCACCCTGAAGCAGCCTAGAATTCTCGGTGAGGGTGCTCACCGCCCCAGTGGAAATCCCCAGGGTTCTGGAGGCTGGTTCAAAAATGCAAGCTCCAGGCGCTTTAGCTGTGCGCTGGCCCGAGTGTCTCAGGTAACAGTCACTTCCTCACAGTGGGTCTTCTTAACCTCATCTGTAAAAAAAGAGTCGTAACAGGTTGTCTCCAAGGCCCCTCTGGGCTCTGAGATTCTGGAAGCCCGTGGCCAAGCCACCGGAGGCAGCTGAGAGGCTTCTGATACCCCGGCCCTGCCCGTGGCATTCCTCGTCAGTCACAGTGATGACACAGGGCTCTCCGCTCCTTTGAAATTAGGCCTCGGGACCATGATCTGGGCCCTCCCCCCGCAATGCCCCACTCAGGAAGTCATAGGTGGCCACATACTTGGGTCAGGCGCTACCGCGTCCTGGCTCTGAGGAGAACAAAGCTCGAAATAAATACTAGGTCGCAGGAGTTGGGCTCAGCGGCCAAGTGGGACGGAGACCCACGGCTGTGTAGGAACTATGGTCCCTGGTATGTCTTCTGCATCCTGGGCAACATTTTCCTTCCTACTCCATAGAGCAACCTGCTGAGAATCCACTGGCCGCATATAGGCACAGAGGAACGAGATGCCTGGTCCAAAGTCAAAGCCCCCAGTAGCGGAGCATCAGCAACAGGTCTGTGGGACTCTAAGATCTGTGTTCTTTTACCCAAGCGCGAGGGACAAAAAACAAGGCAACATGGTGGTGCTTACAGAGCTGGGATGGAGGGCAGAGATCCCAGCCTGTTTTCTCACCTACTGGATGGTAGATCCACATCTTCCTATCCTGCTGGATTTTGCAAACTTTCATAGTGATTTCAAATCATAGGCTTTGAGGTCTGACACATGGGAGTTGGGATCCTGGGTCTTCCATTTACTAGCTTTGGGTCCTGGGACATGGCCTTTAACTCCTCTGAATGTCAGTCTGTGCATCTGTGAAATGGGGATAATAGTTTCCACCTTCCCCGTCTGGTGTGATGGCGGAATGAGGTGAAGGGTGGGAACCTGGCGTGGTGCATGGCCCAAGGGGACTGCTTGGAAGGCTTTGGCATGGTGTTCCACTCAGGGCCACTGTGCTCCTAGCTCTTCAAGATCAGGGAACAGAATTAAGATGGTAAATTTTGCTTATATAGCGTTTTCACACCCATCAACTTTACTTGAGCCTCGTAAGTGGGCAAGGCAGGTCAGATGTTGTCCTCTGACCCCAGAAAAATTCAACTGCCCCTCTTCGCTGGAACGACACTGGGGCTCCTGGCAAAGGGCATGGTACCCTACCACGGCAGTGTAAACTGGGACCTCCCTCCTCACCAGGGCCAGCCATGGCCTGGCCCTCTCAGCAAACAACCTTGAGGCCTACTTCAGAGAAAGGCAGTCCCTTAACCACATACCCCAAACCTGCAAACTTCCCTGCATCCCCACCAATTCTCTCTTTCCCCTCCTTCGGCACAGACAGGATCTTATCTCCCATCCAAGTTCTGGGTCCCTTTCTCCTAGTCCCCTTTCTCTCCTCTCCATCTTCCAATGCCTCCTTCTCCACCAGCTCTTCCATACGAACATCAAAATATGCCCAAGTTGTTCCAATAATAAAAGTGGAAAATGATCGGTACAGCATTTTAGGGCCACGTTAAGTACTTTTAACTGTCTCAGCTAATCTTCACATGATCCTTAACAGGCAGGCATTGTCCATCATCATCATCATCATCATCCCCATTTTACAGATCAGAAACTGAGGCACAAACCGGTTAAGTGACTTGTCCAAGATCTCGCAGATAGTGTGTGGGGACCCCTGACCCCAGAGCCTGTGCTTTAACCACACGGTCTGCTTTAAACTGCTCTTCACCCTTATCCCAAAGTCCTCCCCTGCTTGGACACTCTCTCCTCACTTTATCAGAACTTCTGGAAAAGACTGGCTCCATGGAGAATTCCTCACTCGAATCTCCGGGAACCATCTCCCCAAGATTCTCAATGTTGGAGTCACCAAATGCCCGGGGCCTGTCTCCGCTATCCAACCTGCCCTCTGGCCAGCACCTCACACCATTGGTGGCTTCTCCTTTCAAATTCCCTTCCTTCCTTTGGCTTTCGCACCCTCTCCGTGTACCTCCCACCCCCCACTTCTCCGGACAGTCCTTATCTTCTCCTTGCCCCCCTTCTCTTCTGCTCTGAACCTCCAATGGCCCCATCTCCGTGGCTCCACCGCGGGATCTGCACGGTTGGAGTCTCTCCGCGCCGCATACACCCCCTCCTCCCAGCCGTCCACTTGCCCTTTCCGGCGCCCTTGACCAGACCCCTGGGTCTCTGTGGGCTGGCCCCAGGATGGGGTTGGGCGCCCGGCTTTTCGATCCCATAGCGTCCCCCACAGCCCCCTGCTCCATGAGGCCGATGCCGGATTGCCTGTCTGTGCCCCCCAGCCTCAATCGTGCATCCCTGCCGACCCCGGGCAGGTGACTGTCGCCTCGCCACCGCCACATCAGGTGCGTGCCCAGCGCCGAGAGCAGAGCGGCGCCTGCCACTCTTCGAGGAGGGGGCGAACCCCCGGGGCTGCCCCCGCTGCCCGCAGGAAGGGCTGGGGTAGGAGTCCGGGGGCGGGCTCCGCAGCCGCGGCGTCCAGGTCACGGGCCGCGCCGGGAGGCCTGCGCCTGGGGAGTCCCCCGCCCGAGCCAGCGGGAGCCGGGGCGGCCCGGGCCGGGGAGCGCGGGGGCGGGGGCCGCCAGCAGCCCCGG